CCACACGTTCTCATTGTCTTGTAAACTGCAGCTTTGGTATCATTAGCTACGAGACCAAACTGGAGGATTTACACTACTAATACTACTAATTTCTTTTTGATGAGCTCTCCTCTCGACAATCTTATTGCGGCGTCCGCTCCTCGTGATGTGCCCTCTCTCGTCGAATCCTTTCCAATTGCACCCTCTGGAGGTGGGGGCACTTCTTTTTACGACGGTGAGTCCATTTCCCTTCCGGCAACGGGGGGGGAGCAGTGTACAGTGTATTCTATCATAGTGATTGAAAGACCGGAAGAAATTTGCGGAGGTATGCTGCGGCATAATGACACCGCTTGTATTAATCCACGGAATTCGTGCTATGCAAATCATAGAGGCGATGGAAGACTTGGTTTATCCGACGAGGCAATTATAGCCATAGTTGCAAGACACAAAGAGACTGTTTTCAGTGTTCCTTTTTTAAGCGCATCATTTGTAGACAAATCCCTGCTTAACAGCTGGTTAGAGGAGAAGAAGACCAAACTGGACTGGAACAAGTGCTTTGACATAATCCGGTACTTGTTCGATGACCCAACCAAACCAATCACATTAGCTCAATTCCAAAAGCAGTTAAATGCACAGGTAACAGCAAAAGTAGCTCTCAGGACCCCCGCAAAGTCCCGAGGAAGGCTATTCAGTGCACCTGAAAAGTTGGAAGAGGAAGAGATTGTATTTATGCCTCAGGTCAAGCTGGAAACAACATCCGAAGCCGACACACCAAATGAAAGACTTAATCGCATTGAACACTATCTAAGCAAGGAAGCGGAGTCGAATGAAGTTAGATGGACCACACTAAAGGAAGTCCTCCAGGACAATGCAACAACAAGCAAGTTCCACACAACACAGATAAATACCATAGATACCATGGTAGGAGTAAGAAATCCAAGATCTTTTCCACAGGAATTTGACAACCCCGACCTTTGGTCTACTATTGGAGCTATTGGAAGGACTGTTCTTGAAGACACCAAATCCAATATCGATGATAAATTGCAAGGGATAAACGAACGATGGTTCATTGAAGCCTCCCAAAGGTTCGCCGATCAAGACAACCTCAACAAGTTCATAAGCCACATGACGAACTGGTTCTCATCATATCATGATGATAAAAGAGCGATCTGGAGCAAGCTGAACAACTTGGAGGTTAAAAGCAATGGCCCGTCACCAGGGCAGTTCATCAATCAGTTTCAAGGAGTACACTCTTCATTCATGCATCAACCATCCTTCCCCTCGGAAAACAACAAAAGTCTTGGGCCCACACTGAAGGAGCACAGAGACCTCAAGGATGAAGTGGACAAGCTTAGGGCCATGATAATGAAATTATCATTAGAAAAAGATCATGTAGCCACAAAGTTTGGATCCCTCGGATTCAGGACTGTCGATGATGCAAGAGCATTTGTTGCTGAATACCCGGAGGCTAAAAACTTTGGTCTCATTATAGACCCGTATTCGGTTTGTTATCATGTAATGAAAGACAAACGCGGACATCTTAAGTTCTTTGATCGGCTTCAACACATCAAGAAGCTTGGTATCGGAACGAACCGGGAAGCAATAGTCATGCTAGGGTTCAACAGCCCCATCCCGGAACTGTTTGATGTATCAGGGGACCAACAAAGCTCCCCGTATACTTCTTCATTCAGCAAATTTCCCACGTATAAAGACTGGTTGGACAAAGGAAAGGAGCAGATCCCATTAGGAATCACAAAAGTAAGATCCCAACTAAATATACATGCGGATAACTTCCTCAAACAAGGAAGCAAAATTCATACTATTTGCAAACTGTCCATCTCAGAATCATGTGCAGCCATGGAACAGTTCTGTACTTGGCTAAACAAGTCTCACAACAACCTTGTGACTTACGGAATGTCAGAGGACAAAGCATGGATACTAACCACGAAGTTAGGGGAGAGAGTCTTTCGAGAACTGTTTGTCGTTCGATCAGGAGTAGCTGACGGATTCAATGTGTGTGGTAAGGATACATCCAAAACGGATATTGCTGCGAATGTATGGTATTATGTTCCAAAGACTCTGGATATATTGAAGAACTTTGTTGACTTGGACTTTGGTAATCACGAGTCCATAGCCAGCGAGTATATTCGCTTCTTAGTACATAACACAAACTCTACTGAGGTGTCAACATTCCAAGCTGACATATCCGGCTTGCGAGACCAAATCAATACCTCAAAGAAACAATGGGAGAAGGATTTGAAAACCGTACAGTCTGCGTGCGAAAGTGCTAACAAAGCAGCAACTTCTTTCCACAACAAGCTCATGGATCAGAATAAGAAACTGAAGGAATGGGCATCCGGACAGTTCACTCGGAAGTGACTGTTACGGGATATGCAAGTAACTGTTATAGATGAACAATCGTTATTGCCTCTATCCCCAAATACTCCGGTCATAGTACGGAATAGTAATGAAGAAAGTGTGGAGAAATCACAGCCTGTAGATCTTTCGTTCGAGCATGGTAAGGTCGACGGGGGACTGAGGACACATCAAGTATCTGCCCGTGGACTTGTGGAAGGGTCTTTGGGTTACGTGTGGCTCTTAACTCTTAGGCCAGGTCAATGGAAGAAGATCATAGTGTCGGGGGTTATTCCCGACAGTCACCAACAGGCTATCGAAGACACTTGGGGGGATCGCCTTGAACAAGCATCTAGCCGGGATCCCACGATCAGCCCTGAAGCGATAGATATCGTCTTGGAAGCCGGGGACGGCACAGAGTTAAAGTCTTGGTTGACGCGACAACTTGATTCCAGTGTCATACGGATCTTTAGCTTACAAAAGAAAGCGAGAAGGATTCAAATTGATCGGTTGAAAGTGAATTCGTATCTTATCGCTCACAAGGATGTTGGAGGAGTTACTAATGCTGTATCAAAATTTTACGTAATGGGATGCCCAAAACTTACCATACCGAAGACGGTTGAGAGGACCATTGGATCTATCATTGATCATAAGAGGTATATCTCTTTAACCAACAAGCCCTCCAAGTTCATTCGTCCTACGGAATATTTACCGATCAAGGAGACCGACATCGATATTGAGATCCCCACTCGATTTAGTCCCACCGGCAAATCATACCGACGACTTAGTCCGGCCGAAATATGCACTGCTTGGGATCTTCCTAGATGGGCAATCAAGACTCGTGCGAAGTTAGCTGATATTGACAATATTCACCCACTCAAAGCGGGTTTGGTGCTGAGCGACCACGTTATTCAACATATACAGCTCCCACGGATCTCTTTCGAAGAGCACACTCTACAACAACTCAAACCCCACAACGACGACCACAAAGGTCACTTTATCAATGAACTCAATGTGTGGTTACCACCTACCTGGATTGATTCCAGTTTAGTAACGGGCAAAGCTGTCAAGGTTGATTCCGCGCTGGTCCCAGAACATCTGTGGGATCATCGCATTACACTCACCCTACCATACTCAAACCCACCGCTGGCTCTCTTACGACGCCGCTTACACGCTAGAGCTTGTTACAACGTACTCCTGTCTTTCTTCCGCTTCATGGTGCAAGCACACTCGTTACTTTGGTTGGACTGGTTGAGTATCACTAATAATAAGCTCGCATTTCCGTGGTTCTTTGAAGCTCTTCGCCGTACGTTAGTACGTTTTGTACACGCCTCTACGAGGAAACAGGGGGGGAATGATGCTGGCAATGCTTGTGAGGGCCTCACCGCAAAACCTCACTTCTCAACGGATCGCAATGCCACGGAATCAAAATTTGGGGTCACACTCGCGCGCGAAATCTTAAGTAAATATGGCACTTTTGCAAAACCGGGCCTTCGCGACCAGAAACCAATAACCGAAACGCATGATATATCTTATCCGGACCTGGATGTTACAAACCCCAGTTCACATGAATCAACAGACTCAACATCACTCTCAGACGGGATTAAGATATCTATCAGTCCATCTCAACCAGGGGGAACTCTATCCGTCCGTAGAGCTTCTACCACAACCCACGTAGCTCTACGCGAATTTTCACGGAACTTAATCCTTGGCTATGAAGCTTGCTTACAATACAGCAAATCAACATGGTGGAAATGGAACAATGGATCAACACTGCTCTTCTGGAGGTGGCCAACAAAGGCTACTATAAAAGCTGCTCGCGATGGCTTTCCGCTGTTTATTCGGCGGGACCGATTGCCCTCGTATAAGGTACGCCATAGAAAAATCAGCGATGAGATGGCCTGCCAGCTAGGAGTGAAGATCAGTGACGTTCTCCGCAAGACATACATAGCACGATCGACTACACCAAAGAGCTACATTGATTTCTTTGGCGTCCCGAAAGGAATTGGAACCAACGGCGAAATACTAGATATAAGAATAGTCTATAATGGATCCAGCTGTGGTTTGAATGATGCGGTATGGGCCCCAAACTTTTGGCTCCCAACACCTAACACTGCTATCCGACAGATGTCGTATGGATACTGGGTAATGGACCTAGACTTGGGAGAAATGTTCCTAAACTTCCCTGTTCCTGACGAAATAAGGCCCTACCTGGGAGTTGCACTAGACCAGGTTGCGGATAAGCTCCAGGGAGTGGATCCAAGAATCGCCGAACAAAAATCAGTAGTTTGGACACGGTTACTGATGGGTTTTCGACCTAGTCCTTTCTTCTCCATCAAGTTTTATTACCATGCAGAAGAATTCGTCCTAGGAGACAGACTCAACAAACACAACCCCTTTGCTTACCACAAAGTTATATTGAATTTACCGGGGATGAAATCTTTTGATCCAAGGCTACCATGGGTG